AATCTGATCTTAATTCTAAGTTGCATTTTACTAGAAGACCAAATCTTTAATCTTAAGATTGGGTTTATTTTTTAACTTTTTTTTTCTTTATTTTTTGTTTTATTTTAATTTTGTAGAAACTAATTCCTAAAACACTTTTTATCAGTATTTCCTAAATACTGAATGATATGATTTCTTAATCACATTCACTATGTATAAATTTTACTGTAGAGGTAACTGTGTATAAATTTTAAAAGCTCTGCTTAAAATTTTTAGATAATATAATTTGTTATATTTTTCATTAAACTGTTAATATATAAAAATATAATGGAATACAAATATATTTTATTGTATGAGGTTGCAAGTGGGTTCTCTTTTCTCTAATATAAAATTATTAGACTAAGATCAAGGAACATAGATTCAATTGAAACAATTATTATAAAATGCAATGTACTTGGTATACTTGTGTGACTTAGCAAATATGTTAAACACCTGCATAACGCAAATTATGAATTCTATCAGAGATGACTACCAGACTTTGTATCTAGCAACTGATCTAGTCTCACAAGTTAGAAAATTTATGAATTTTAATTTTTCATCCAGTTACATGTTAGTTTGTCAGATAACTTTCTTGTAAATAAATATTCTCAGTATATGCAGCATTGGTATTTAAAAATGAATTTGATTCATGAATAATTTTTAATAGAATGTCATTTTTTTTCTACAATAATAATGAAGTTGAAAGGTATAAAAAAGAACAAGAAGCCATTCTTAAATGCTCTTAAATATCAAATAAACTTGACATTGGAATATGATGATGCATATAACAAGTGATTGCATAGATACCAGATGTAACAAATCCATTGCCCAAGGTTTTAACAAGAGAATAAAAATAACGCATATAACAGTGTATGTGATTTCAGTCAATACTCAAAAGTATTTGCAAAGAATAAAAACAATAAGTCTTCATCATTTCACTTCATTAAAACACATTAAAATATTGCATTTAATTTTTAACAAAAATATCTTGATTTTTATTTTAATACTAAAACTAAGCTTGGAAGAAGTTTCCTTTACTAAAGTGTTAGTGTACTTTCTCACAGCCTGTTACAATAAATTCATTTATCTGTTGATTTAGTAAAGTGCTATTTGTCTTCTTGATATAGATAGAATACAGCATAAAATTATAAATATTAGGCAATATCAATAATATGTAATAATAAAAAATAAATACAAATAGTATGTATTGCATATACCAAAGGAAATGTAATTAGACAATTGATTATCCTTCCCAAAAGTAATGCAATGCCCATAACAAAAGATCAAAATACAAATGTCTAATGATTTTTATTCTTTATGATAAAAATATACATTAAAAAAACAAAAGATTTTATTTTATAAAATTAAACATTTACAAATATGTTTTTTAAAATGTAGAAAATCTAAGTAGAGATTGTTCCACATAGTCCATATTCTGAATAGACCAATGGAAAAAGGATCTGAAAGAAATGGAAAGCCTAAAAGATAGGGTAAAAAACAAGTTTAGTTATGAGTATGGTGGAACTCATCAATCAGAACAAATGGAACCATGGAAATATTTGTATAAAAGTAAACAAAGTATTTTTTTTAAAGATGATGATAATCAAGTAACTTTTCATTATATTTAAATTTGATAGATCTCTGATCAGTCTCAAATGATACTTTGAATATTTTATCTATTTTAAAGCTAAATGTAGCACAATTTAGTCTGCTAATCATTACCACTATACTAATTAATAAATACTGAGTAATTTGGCTCTAGAACTGAGAGTTACATGCCATCTTTTGTTAAATTAATATTTATTAAATAATAGTAACAGTAATATAGCCCGTGTTGATTTTAATATAATTATCAGGTTTTGAGATGTTTACATATTATTTATCTATGATTGATATTTAAATTATAGTTAAATTGTTTAACAATTNCAAAATCTTTACTTCAGACTTTTTATAATACTTTCTATATATATATATATATATATATATACACACACACACATGTGCATATTTAAATTAGAAGAAAATTAAGGTCTTAAGATTATTTACATACTTCTTGCCTCTTAAAACTAATTCCCAACACAAAAAAAAAATTATTTGGTTCCCCAGATAGCACATGGATTTAGTCATACCTTTTTTTTCCTCAAATCCTAATTATTTCTTATTCCAAACTTATTTAATTCTTTGTTTTTTTTTTCAATATTTTGTTTCAAATTTAAAACTAGCCTCTATTATATTATCTAACTATATTATCTTTTAAATTTTTGTTTTTCTGTTATGTATTTTCCTTTTTACTGTGTATAATTGTCCTTTAAAGAATTGTAATAGAGGACATCTTGAATTTAAATAGGTCATGACCTAAATGTAAGTTGGAAGGAGAGTGTCTTTCCTGTATATGGTCATTAACAGACTATTGGAAGATAAAAGCAGTTTTTTTGTTCTTTCTGGTCCAGTTATGAGTACATATTAATTTTTTTATTGTTTCACTTCTGGAATAAACTATATTTCTTTGTATCTCTTCAATCTTTATCATTCTATACATGCATTCATAACATTAAATGCATATTATTAATATGCATTTAATGTTTAAAGCCAGTAGCACATGTTGCCACAGTAATATTCACTTTCAGATTCTAACCTTAACAGCTGCTGTCCTTCATATAAAGTAAAAGAAAATTTAAAGTCTATTTTCTGACTAGCTTTCTCAATACATTCATATTACCTTCTTAATCTCAGCAAAATCTAAATAGATAGATACATTATTAAATGGTATTTATTTTAAATGAAAATAGTAATTTGTGAATATTTTCAGAAAATAATCTTTTGGCTTTATAAGCTAACAAAAGTAATCTACTTCTCTGTTTTAATATTGAGGGAAAAATCAACAAAACCCTTATTTATAATTTTTATTGATATGAATTGTTCTTAAAGCATTTTTAGGTTATCATTTAAAAATTTTTATCAAAAATCTGTAAAAATATTAACCTGACAATTTCAAACTAATGAAAAGTTTACTAATGAAAGAAAGTTAAAATTTATATGTAAGATGTGATTGATATATTAATTTGTATGATAATTTAGTTAACACTGGTGGCATTAGTATATTTTATGTTAACTAAGAATTGTTTGAAAAGTTAAGNGAAAATTTTAATAAAGATATTTATCTTAATTTATACATATAACTATAAATTAATGTTTTCATCATCATCATCACTAAGCACTATTAACTAAGGGCCTCTTTTTTTTTCTTTTAAGATATCCTTATCTTTCTGTATTATCTTCAGATCCATTCTCTACCTTTTGCAAAAATATGTTATTTTAGATTGCTTGTTTTTAGTTATAAGAAAACTTATAAACATCTTTTATGGTGCAGAGCACTTATGAAGAATAAAGCAAGTATGGAATAAGAAAAAACATCTGGCAACATCATAATCAGAAGCAATGAGATCTGGCAACACAAACAAGTTTCGAGAAGGACCATGTGTATCGACAGAAGGCAGGAAAAGAAAATTTACATACTTAAGTACTAATAGTTCACGAAGATTATTATTTTCATGAACTATTAGTACTTAAGTATGTGAAAATTTATTACATTTCATGTTGCATGAGGGTTTACCCAATTCTCAAATTGTGTTAGAGTGAATCCATGCTATAGAAATGCCGTATTATACGGGTTACCTGTAATTTCTTAAACAATACTATTAACTTAAGAGATTTCTAAATTCATTTGGGTTTCTTCAGACAACTATTTTTGTATTATTCCATATTTTCAACAATGCATAAATTAATAATCCATATAATTATCTATACAATAACTAACGAAACTCGTGTTAAATTCTATTTTCAGGTTTTATCCAAATTTAAGTGAAAAATTTAATTTTATTTTTAATTTTCCATCTTAAAAAAATTAACCAAGATTATCCACCAGGGTCCAATGGAATAAACCACTTAACACTGGTGGTTTTATTTCCTTGAGTTCATGTTCACTACTGGGCTTTGAGTTTTTTGGGCTTTCTTCATATGCCTAATACAAATAAGGCCAGTTTTTCATAGAAAAATTTTTCCATGAGTTACTCCTTGGCAGATTGCCCTTATGTTATGGTTGCCTTTATCCATACAAACCTACCAAAGCTCAATGAACATCTAGATTTGGTAGAAAAAGTTACATCATTGTCAAGAATGAAATAATGAAACTTTAATTCAGAAAAATCTTATTTTAATGATGACAAAAATATGATTTAGACAAGAATTTTACTTCTGTTTTAAGAATTGTTGCTTTGTATTGTTGATATTCATGTCAAAAATTACAATTTATTATGAACTTTTTTCTTTAAAATAAGTTTTTGCTTCATTAAATTAGAGTAATTTGCTTCTGTCTAAAGCAGTCACAATGTGTCATTATACAGTAGTAGTATTTATATTTTTTGTTGCAATTTAATGGAATAATGTTATATTAAAAATATAAAAATTTCTAATTCATTTGTGTAGTAAGCTTTATCTATACCTATACAGGTATACACAATATGTTGCATTTATAATCCTTGAAGACTAATAAACAGCTGAAGTTTCAGAATTTCTGCTTCATGACAAATGAGCTCTGGAGAATTATTTCATAACATGAATTTAATTTGAGTCATAATAATCAAAAGCAAAACAAACTTTTGTTATTACTTAAATTTTTTAATAGATTTATTATTGTCAATTTGATGATTCATTAGTGTATGAAAAGATAAGTTTTATAGGTCTATATAATATTTCTTAACATTTGTATGATGAATAGCCAAATGATGCTTTGCAATTTGAATTTTGATGATTTACATATATACATACATAGTATTATCCCTAGTTGACAAATAATGTATGAAGTTATTATAATAATTTGTCTGCTGTGGCACTTTTTTTTAATTTATTACACATTGTTTTAATGAATTAGACTTAAATTGACATTTTTTTTTTTTTTTTTTTACTGACAAACTACAAACTCTTGGAAGATGGTGCTTACACACACAAGAATTTGTTAGCTTTAAAAATCGAAAAGGAACTCCTACACTTTAATTTTAGAGTTGTTGTTTGTTAATTGTGCCCCCAAGTACCTTCAAGATTAGCAAGATAATCTAAAAATTAAATTAAAATCAAACATATCTGGAGGTTTGAGGGTTATGTTCAGTAGTGCTACAGAATGCCACAATTTTATTGGTCAGATATATAGACTAACTACATTTTTGTTCAAAACAATTGGTCGTCAATCTTCTCCCAGACAAGAAGAGGTTCCTGGGAAGTTTGATTTTACTCATACAGTCTTCAAATGCATAAACACACAGACTAACGTGACGTAAATTCTACTGCCAAATTTTAATTGGCCCATGTTATGATCCAATTAAATTCTGGCCGTGTCGCTCATTACTAAATTACATTTAAACCGAGCCCAACAAACTTTTTTCTTTATTTTCAGACCAGAATATGTAGAGTATTAACAAAATGGGAGAGAGTCTACATGATTACAGCACTGGCCTTCCTCTCAACCATATGGAGCCTGGCGGCCACGATAGCTTACTACAAATCGTCGGCTTTGGAGTGGGCATTAGCATACACTGCCAGTTAGTAGAATATTTTTTTGGCAATTACAACCGATTAAACTAAGATCTTGATAAGTTTTATGGCACGTAAATCAATAACATGTTACTTTTTAGCATTTTGCCTTTATTATGTCATCCACGGGATCTTAGCAAAGAAGGCATTCGCGTTAATTGGTTTCGCCGTCCTAATTCTCCTCATTCTGGCATATGGCATCATAAATTATGTCTCCGATTCGTCTGATGATCTAAAACTGGTGAGTTGGACTCCCCCCTTTTTTTTTTATTGAAAATTTAATTTTTCTGATATTGAACTAATGATATTTTCAGGCATATCTTATCTTTGTTTGTGTTCTTGGTCCTGTGTTTATTGTAGCAACCTTAAGGTTTAGCTACAGATACTATTCAAGTGGCATCATAATTCAATATATGGTGGGTGCCAATGAATATCTACAGTCTTTATGTAAAATGATGATGCTCTGCAAAACTCTCTTGGTGTTCGATTTTCATATGCAGGTAAATTTAAATAAGTTTCATTAAAGACGTGTAAAGTGTAAAGCTTGGTACATAAATCTGGTCCATTCTAAGCATGTATATCCTGTGCGGAATCCGATCAGGTCTGTTGTTAGGCAGACACTTTCTCAAGGGATTGTGATCCAAATCCATAATTTATTGCAGGTGTACATTAATGCATCTTGGCTGGAGCTAAATGCAACTGAAGTGGAGTTCTGGAATATTTAGACCCAAAAACTGGGTCATAACCCTGTTATTCCTATAACTTTAAGTTGGCCAGCACGAGATAATTGGACTCTGGATATCAAGAGCTCAATAGTCTGGGAGTAGTGTGGGCTCCTTTTGCCATTTTTTTAAATAAATGAAATACATAGGATGTTTGCTTTTTTATTACAGTGGAACCTCGCTTAATGAGCATAATTTGTTCCAGAATCTAACTCGTAATGCAAAACACTCGTTAAGCAAACAATTTTTCCCATAGAAATTAATGTAGTGTGTTCCATGCTGAAAAAATACTCAAATATTTTATGTATAATGTTTATTCAAAGAAAATTATACAATATATGTTAAGGCGCGTGAATAGTCATTATCATTTCTTTTAGCATGGAATGAACCAACCTGGATGCGAATTCGATTTGCAATAAACAAAAATTCACAGATAATATGTCTGATAAACACGCTAAATGATATGCGAAATTCTTGGGTAAAGACTATAATTAAATATTAGAAATTAATTAATTTGACTAAAGGTAGGCAGTTATACTTCAATCTTGTATTTAAATTTAATAATTTAGACCAATTCCAAATTAAAATGTCATTGAATTTAGTAAGAGATGGCAGCATAACTGCCTACCTCTAGTCAAATTTCTAATATTTAATTATAGCCTTTACCTAGGCCAAGAATTTGGTGTTCATTATATAACAGTCGATGTTTATACATAATATTTGTGAACACAAGTACGGATAAATGTTTGATCACGAGTGACACTAAGATGCTAGCGGAACAAGTGCTAAACACAGACTAATGGAGCATGCGCACAATCCAGGATGTCTCCTCTCATCATCGTTCGTTAAGCGAGTAATTTTTTTACAATTTGTTTTGCTCGTTGTGCAAGGTGCTCGTTAAGCGAGGTTCCACTGTACTAGAAAGCAGTCTTAAAAAATTGTTTTTAAAACAAAAAACATGAAGGTGGGAATAGTTATAGGTCCCAAATTTTCTTTGGACCTGGTGAAAAATTGCAAGCTTCTCCTCTCAAAGCCATGACTGGGCTTGCTTGCGCAATTACACAAATCGATAAGAATTTTGTTATCACGAAACACCAGCACAACCCTTGTTGGATGTAATTTTATGTACTGAGATTTATACTACGAATGTTTTTTTGGTAATAGAATGGGGCCGTCCGACCTTTTTGAGAATTATGAGCTACTTTTTTTGGGGAATGTCATAGCCTATCTGTACATTTGTTTTGATGCAACTGTTAAAACTTTAACAGTTGCATCGTATCGCATTGCATGTACTAACCTCTGATTTCATTGTATTTTTGTTAGAATCAACTACAAAAAAAATTTACATACATTGGATGGAGAGCTCGCAAATCAACCGGTCGGGCAGCCCCGTAATAGACAAACCATTAAATTCTTTAAACAAAATTGATTTTATAGGTCAACTTGGTCCTTCTAATTGCAGCGAATGGATCGGATGCCGTCCACTCTGATAAGATCGTTTTGGCACTCACATTCATATTTATAGCAATTGGAAACAGAAGCGTAAGTATTAGTTTTCGAATATTTCAAAGCAAACAAAAATCTTTTTTAAGTACTGAACTGTTTTTTCTTTTTTCCAGATAATATATGAGAAGAAGGTATTGGTATTTCTCTTCTTGATCCTCAGCATTTCACAACCCGTTTTTACCATTTACATATTTCATGTGGCAAGTGTAACTTTAATCGAATTACATAACCTTTCTGAAATACGAAATTTAATTCTCTTTTTCTCGTGTTGCCATAGGCGAAACGTCAATTCGAAGTTCATCCCGCTCAATACATCGCCATCTATTTGGCGGGAGGATTGGGACTGGTGGCTTGGTTTTCTTCTGTAATTTGCATAGGCTTTGTCACAAAAAACTTTGGAAAAGGATTGAAAGAAAAAGGTAAAGTTTAGAATAAGGAATTTTTAAAATCAGTCAAATCAGTCTTTCGGACCTAAACTTTGGCCATCTTCAGCAAATTCCATTTATACAATTAACACATTTACTGTAAATAATTCACCGGGATGCTTTGTTTATTGAACTATTTAGTCTTTAACAGTTAAATTGCTCAAATCTGGTAACTGACAGGCTTTTTGGCCATCTTCGGCTTAAATCCAAAATTTTTGTCCTGATTTTTACTCATAACAAGCATCTAACGATTTTGCAAGATACCACAGTATCTCACTACATGTCAAATCCGACATACATAAACAGACACACACAGTACAAAAATTTGTTCTACAACTGTTTCATATTCCACAGTTATATCATCAACACTATCTTAATCTTCTTTAATTAAACATATAATGACTGTTTAAATTTAGTGGCTGACATATGTGAAGTGGGCAGTGAGAAAGTTCCTGGAACTGTGGTAGATAACTGTAATAGTAAGATTTGAAAACACTTACCTAAATCATCTTCAAAATAGGGGCCTACACACACACTTTCCACCATCAATCCTGCCACTGTTGGAAGCACCGTCAGAAGACTTCTTTTGGAATATTCAGAAGTTTGGTCGTCGCATTCTTTGACATGGAGTGTGTTACTGGTCATTCTTACATGCAAGTACAGGTAACCCCCGTATAACACGGTACTTCTATAGCACGGATTTGCTCTAACACGGTTCAAGAATTGCTACCATCCCCCGTATAACACGGTACTTTTATAACACGGATTCACTCTGACACGGTTCGAGAAATGGGTAAAACCCTCGTACAACATGAAATGTAATAAATTTTTACATACTTAAGTACTAATAGTTCACGAAAATTATTATTTTCGTGAACTATTAGTACTTCAGTGTGTAAATTTTTTTTTCTCATCTCCATACACATGGTCCTTCTCGAAACTTGTTTCAATGTTGCCATATCTCGACGCTTCTGCTTCTGTGTTGCCAGATGTTTTTCCCTTATTCCATAAGTGCTTAGCACCATATAAGGAAATTTATAAAGATCTTTTAACTAGAAGCAAGCAATCTAAAATTACATA